AGGTTGGGAAATTCCTGGGGATTTGGTGGTGGAGACGGGGGAGGGCAGGGTTTGAGGAGGGGAGGCTATATAGCCATAAGTCCACCATCCAAACAGTGTTCCCTCTAATCCCCCCCCCACCAACCAGAGCCGTTCACATCCTGAGCAGAATAGAACTGCTGTAATCTTAAAATGGGCAATGGTCAGTGCAAGACCCTGCACGGCTCCAGACTGCTGCTGAGCGGAGTTTCCTGGGTTAATGAGCGGCTGCTCAGACACACAGCTCAGAGGGAATATGGCCTCCAAAGCAGTTATTTTCTCCATGGGAACTGACCTCTGTATTCTGGAGATCAGTTGTAATTCCGACAGATTCCAAGGCCCCACCTGGAGGTTGGCAACCATAAAGGAATAGCAAATGCAAAAGGGTCTTTGTGTGTGTGTGTCCCCCCCCCCTGGAGGAACAGGTCTGCTCTGGCCTGCAGGCCTTGTTCCACCCGGCCGTCCAATGATTTCCCAGCACCTGGAGAGACCTTTCTCTCTCTCTCTCAGGTAACTCGCTGCCACCACCTGACCTTTGTATGGAATTGCTCACTGGGAAGGTCAGGACTCCCAGCTTCCCTTCCAAGTCCTGAGGCCTTGCCTCTCTGTCCTGCTGCCCCCAGCAGCCTGGTCACCACCGAGGACATTTACTGCCTTGTGCACCCCTGTAAGAATAGCCACTTGCCAACTGACTGCCTTCCGCCTCCTAGCGCTCCTTTTTAAATAGCGTGTCCAAGAAGGTGGAGGTCTATGTGGTACAGTGCACCACTACCAATACCCAAAGTTATAAAGTATTTTTAAAAAGGAAAAAGTTCACAAGCATACTTTTAGCACAGCACCAGATTGATCAAGAGATTCAAAAGAAATGGGTACAACGCAATTCCTCTGTCCCTCTCTTTGTACATGCCCTATCAGATGTTAAAATATAGAATAGGCTCCTTCGCATAGGAAGTTACAGATCTTTACCGAGTAACCATTACCTTGAAGTTTCCTTCCGCTCCTCAGGATAGCACATGGTTAAATGGCTGCCTCCTCCAGACCTCAGTTAAGAGTTCTGTCTGCTCTGATGGACTCCACACCCAAAGAGCTTCCTCCCTCCTCCTCTGAGTTTGTATCATCTTTCCTTTCCCCACCCACTGACCAGGTCCTGAAGAATTCTAGACGCTTCCTTCCTGGGGTTTCCCTAGTACTTAATTCCTCCAAATCTCTGTTCCCTGCTTAGGGTGGGGGAACTTGACCATCCCATTTTCTAGACCTACTAGCATTTGTATGCAGGTGGGCTTAAGTAAGTCTAGAAAGCAATTGAACTGACTTCCCCTTTTCCTGCCCAAATGGGAAAAAAGCTTTGTGAAGATTTTGCTCAGAGTGAACATTTTGCTCTTTTCAAACCTCCAAAGGAAAAAAAAATGCATTTCTTCACACTCCAAATTATATTTAAATCCTGCCCTTCCTTCCAAGGAATTCAGGCTGGCCTAGATCGGGTTCCCAAACAGAGATATCAGCTCTTGGGGGGGGGGAACTCTGGAACACGGGCAGGGGACAGATGTCTGGACATGGGGGTGGAAACAGGAAGGCAGGTGTGGGGCCAAGCACAGGTGTACGTTAGGGCACGCATGGGACAAAAACTCTCTAAGGAGTCTATTTAGAAAAAAAAACTAAGAGAGGAAAACAAAACAAAACAAAACCCCCCATGGCCTTGCCCTTTGCTTTTCTGGCAACTGGTCTAGAAGGAAGTGTGTGTGTGTGTGGAGGGGGAGAAACAAGAATGGAGTGGGGTTTTTTTGGCTAGTTGGCAACTGTACTGTAAAAGGGCACAACTACGAGAGGCATGAATTATTTTTAAGCTGAAAAATGAGACAGGGCAGCCATAAAAACACTTTCCATGTGCCATTTTCCTAATAAAAATCACCCCCCACACACTGTTTCTAGCTCCACAGAGGGAAAAGAGAAAGGTATAATATGAATATCTGTCATTTCCTCCCCCCTTACCAGAATCAACACCAGTTTGGGAGAAGACAGGTTTCCGTAAGGAAAGCAGCATGGTTAATGATTTGGGGTTACATTGGACAGGGGCTGTGGCTCAGTGGAAGAGCTTTTGCTTTGCATGCAGAAGGTCCCAGGTCCAATCCCCAGCAATTCCAGTTAAAAGGACCAGGTAGGAGGTGATGGGGAAGGCTTCTGCCTGAGACCCTGGAGAGCGGCTATCTGTCTGAGTAGACAATACTGACCTTGATGGACCGAGGGTCTGATTCAGGATAAGGCAGCCTCACTTGTGCTCACTTGACTTTCCGCATCTCATCCAGCTCCATGCAAAGATTCCTTCACCTCAAAGATGGCCCCACCAAGTGACCAGATTATTCTGCAGGCCTGAACAATTCAGTAATACGTTGCTTTATAGAAATACCTCTCAAACTTTGGCTGCGATTGCACACACTAAATAATGCACTTTGTTCAGTTTCAATGCACTTTCCAACTGGATTTTGCCAGTTCACACAGTAAAATCCAGTTGGAAAGTGCATTAAGAGTGGTTTGAAAGTGCATTATTTAGTGTGTGTGATCACAGCCTTTGTGTCAGATCAGACTCGTGTGTCACATGAGAAACAACTCAACTGTTTCATAGGGGAAGCTGCTCTGTATGTCTGAATGATTTATACTGATTTGACTGACACAGGTTTTCCAGTTAAACTTGTGCATGGGACACTATCTGAACTGGGAGTGATTAGAGCATTCCAGATACAGAGACACAGAGGAATTAGGCAAAGGTAAAGGTTTCCCTTGCTCGAAAGCCAGTCGAATCTGACTCTAGGGATGCGGTGCTAATCTCCATTTCCAAGCCAAAGAGGCAGCACTGTCCGAAGATGTTTCTGTGGTCATGTGACCGGCATGACTAAACGCTGAGGCACATGGAACACTGTTACCTTCCCCACCGAAGTGGTACCTATTTATCTACTTGCAATTTCTTGCTTTCGAACTGCTATAAAAACACTTTCCATGTGCCTTTGTCGCAAATTTGGAGGCTGCAGCTGGTGCAGAATGCGGCAGCCAGGTTGGTAGCGGGTGCCTCTAGATGGGACCACATCCAACCTGTGCTGAAAACGCTGCACTGGCTGCCTATAGCGTTCTGGATTCACTTCAAAGTGCTGGTCCTTACCTTTAAAGCCCTACATGGCCAGGGTCCGGCATACCTGAGGGACCGCCTTTCCCCACACAGGCCCCAAAGAGCACTTCGGTTGGGGTCACAACACCGTCTAGTGACCCCGGGCCCCAAAGAGGCCAGGCTTGCTGCCATAAGGGCCAGGTCCTTTTTGGTAGCGGCTCCTACCTGATGGAATTAGCTCCCGGAGGAGATCAGGGCCCTGCGGGACCTGGTACAGTTCTGCAGGGCCTGCAAGACGGAGTTCTTCCGCCAGGCTTTTGAGTAGGAGCCGCCGCCACCACTCCCACCACTGTGCGACTGCAGAGCAGTTCCGCCGTGTCAGGCTGACTGGCCAGCTAAAAAATCGTGGCCCATGGCATCCACAACCCTTTTTTGACCCCACTGGGCTCTGCAATAGGGAGTAAGTATTGTAGTCATTTATGTATCCTGTGAGATGTGCATTTTTGCCTAAATTGTTTTAACCATTGACTTTTACTGCACTTGTGCCTTAATTGTTTTAACTTCTTGTATTTTTACCACACTTTTGTGCCTGTGTAAGCTGCCCTGAGCCCGCATGTGGGGAGGGCAGGGTATAAATGAAACAAACAAACAAACAAACAAATAAATAGGTTGGCAGGAGCTGGGACCAGAGATGGGAGCTCACTCCGTCACGTAGCACTCAGGTCTTGAACTGCTGAACTACTGACCTTCTGGTAGGCAGTTCAGTGTCTTAACCACTTGAGCCACCACAGCTCCTACAGAGGAATTACCTGCCCTCAGAAGGGAAGGCCTGTTTGTAACTCTATGTGAATCACTGGCTTCTCTCCAATCAGGAAGCATGTCCAGAACAGGAACTCATGCAGGGAGATGGGCTTCCTCTGTACATGGATAATTCTTCATCACTCTAAAAGTAAACCTTTTCAGATTTTAAGACTGAGGCATATCTTCAGTTTTAATTCGCAGGGTGGGGGGAGGTTGGGAAGCTCTGATTTATTTAGGGCAAATCCACAGGTAGATGATTCATGACTTGATGTCTCTTATATGAAATGAAAGCATGACAGACGGTGTCTGAACAGATTCACTGTCTCATATAGACATTTACACCACTTGGCAGTGACTCTGACAGATACACTTTCCCCATGAAGGCTTGCAAGGAACAGAGAAGATTCCAAGGACCCTCATCCACCTCTCCCCTTCAGGTTTCATTCTTCCAAACCACTCCCTTCTGAACTTGATTTCCCCTTTTAAAAAGGGTGGTGGTGGTACTAAGGTTTTGTTGACCTGCAAAGTAGTTAAGTGGTTAAGACTCTGAACTGCAGGCTGTGGAAGGTCAGTAGTTCAGCAGTTCGAGACCCGAGTTGCCGCATGACGGAGTGAGCTCCCGTCTCTAGTTCCAGCTCCTGCCACCTAGCAGTTCGAAAGCAAGAAATTGCAAGTAGATAAATAGGTACCACTTTGGTGGGAAGGTAACAGCGTTCCGTGCGCCTTGGTCATGCCGGCCACATGACCACTGAAACGTCTTCAGACAGCGCTGGCTCTTCGGCTTTGAAACGGAGATGAGCACCGCAACCCTAGAGTCGGACACGACTGGCTTTCGAGCAAGGGAACCTTTACCTTTACCAAAAGTATAATTAGTCTTTTGCCTTGATGAGCCCCATCTCAAATTAAATCCTGCACAGATCTTGGAGTAGCAGCTGCCCTGCCTGGCAAGATTTAAAAATGGTCTTCATTGAAGACCCTGCCCAGGGACTTTCCTCATCAGTATTCAAATCACATGCCATATGGAAGCAAGTTGTAAATATCTTTGTAATCCACCATGAGCTCTTACGAGAGGGGGAGGGGGAGGGGGGCTCTGGCTCAGTGGTAGAGCCTATGCTTGCCATGCAGAAGGTCCCAGGTTCAAAACCTGGCATCTCCAGTTAAAAGGACCAGGTTAGGAGGTGATGTGAAAGAGAGCCGCTGCAGGTCCAAGCAGACAATACTGACTTTGATGGACCAAGGTTCTGATTCGGTATAAGGCAGCTTTCTGTATCCATGCATAATATACTTGGATATACATTAAAAAGCAGTGACTTGTATAATGAGTAGTACGCTGATGCTTACAGAGAAATAAGCTTCAGTGTTGTGCAGGTTGTATGGGATGCTCATACACAGGTGATTCTAAAGGTGATGCTTGTACACAGGTGACACTTACAGCATAAAGTGGCCAGTATCTTTTTTTTTTTTACAGTGGAACCTCCCATCTTTAAGAAGGGTTCCAGAGGAGATCAAGGAAATTACAGGCCAGTCAGTCTGACGTCGATACTGGGTAAGTTGGTAGAAACTCTTATTAAGGAAAGAATTAGTAGGTACATTGATGAACAAAACCTATTGAGGAAGACTCACCATGGGTTTTGTACGGGAAGATCTTGTCTCACTAACCTGTTAGTGGAGTGAACAAACATGTGGACAAGGGGGACCCAATAGATGTTGTTTACCTTGACTTCCAGAAAGCTTTTGATAAAGTTCCTCATCAAAGGCTCCTAAGTAAGCTCAATAGTCACAGGATAAAAGAATTGGCTAATTAATAGGAAACAGAGAGTGAGTATAAATGGGAAATTTTCTCAGTGGAGGGTGGTAAGCAGTGGGGTACCACAGGGATCAGTACTGGGTCCAATGCTTTTTTTAACTTGTTTATTAATGTTTTGGAGTTGGGAGTAAGCAGTGAAGTGGCTAAATTTCTAGATGACCCGAAGTTATTCAGGGTGGTGAGAACCAGAGAGGATTGTGAGGCACTCCAAAGGGATCTGTCGAGGATGGGAGAGTGGGCGTCAATGTGGCAAATGGGGTTCAATGTGGCCAAGTGCACATTGGAGCCAAAAATCCTAAATAGAAATACACATTGATGAGGTCTGAACTGGCAGAGACTGACCAAGAGAGAGATCTCGGAGTCATAGTAGATACCTCAGTGAAAATGTTGAGACAGTGTGTGACTGCAATAAAAAAGGCCAACGCTATGCTGGGGATTATTAGGAAGGGAATTGAAAACAAATCAGCCAGTATCATAATGCCCCTGTATGAATCAATGGTGCAACCTCATTTGGAGTACTGTGTACAGTTCTGGTCACCACACCTCAAAAAGGATATTATAGCACTGGAAAAAGTACAGAAAAGGGCAACTAGAATGATAAAAGGGTTGGAACACTTTCCCTATGAAGAAAGGTTAAAATGCTTGGGGCTCTTTAGCTTGGAGAAACGACAGCTGAGGGGTGACATGATTGAGGTTTATAAGATTATGCATGGGATAGAGCAGGTACAGAAAGAAGTACTTTTCTCCCTTTCTCACAATACAAGAACTCGTGGGCACTCAAAGAAATTGCTGGGCAGTCAGGTTAGAATGGATAAAAGGAAGTACTTCTTCACCCAAAGAGTGATGAACACATGGAATTCACTGCCACAGGAGGTGGTGGCAGCTACAAGCATGGACAGCTTCAAAATGGAATTAGATAAGCATATGGAGCAGAGGTCCATCAGTGGCTATTAGCCACAAGGTATAGATAGGGACTCACAGGCTGGGGCAAGTGATGCTCTGTCTTCTTGGTGCTTGGGGGGGGGGCGTGGAGGGTTTCTAGTGTCCTGGCCCCTCTGCTGGACCTCCTGATGGCCCTGGTATTTTTGGCCACTGTGTGACAGAGTGTTGGACTAGATGGGCCATTGGCCTGATCCAGCATTGACCACTCTTATGTTCTTACGTTCTCTGATTGCTTCTCTGATCTCCATTTCAACAAGCAGCAGGGGTAGGCAGACAGGAAGTCACAGACTCTGTTAATGCATAAGGCTTCAACTACCTCTTTTGACTTACAGAATGTCAAGCAAAGGAGAGGCATTTGTCATGCAAAAGGGGCATTCTCATCTGTGGAGCTTGTGAAACCAGCTGCCCTGAAAGCTTCTTGTATTAATGCCCTCAGGGGCTTCACTCCAGCTCTGAAACTTAATATGGTTCCAGACATCATAGTCACTGTGGCTAGGATGCTAGACTACAAAAATCCTGTTCCAATCCTGACCTGGGTCAGTCACATACTGTCAGCCTAACCAACCTCACAGGGTTGTTTTGGTGACAACGTGGAGGAAGGGAGAACCACACATGCTGCTGTGAGCTCTCTGGAGGGAAAGCTGGATAAAAATGTATGCCCACATTATGGCAAAACTTGGAATGCTGCTCCATGTACTCTCTTCTTTGCCCCTGTGATGGCTCAAAGGGGAATCTGTCCATCTTAGGACAAGGCATCTTAGGACAAGGCACAGGCATTTTGGGACCCACAGGCCTCCTCATGTGTAAGATGCCCCATTTATTTATTTTTTTTATTTTCACATCTGTATCCTGCCCTCCCCAATGGGCTCAGGGCGGCTCACAAGGGCAAGGTAATCAGCCGTGCCATAAATAAACATCTAAAACATAATAAAAACAACTAACACTTAAAAACAACAATGGTGCTCAGTCACTGATATCATAATCCAAGATGGAATCAACACCATTCCAGGTGGTACTCCCATGAATGGTGACAGCTGATTAGATCTTTACATATTCCAGGATCTTCATCAGGGCCTCGTCCGTGCATCCTTTAAGATACCATGACGGTGGTGGTATAGTGGGGCGGTGGCTCCTACTCAAAGGCTTGGCGGAAGATCTCCATCTTGCAGGCCCTGCGGAACTGCATAAGGTCCCGCAGGGCCCAGATGTCCCCCGGGAGCTCGTTCCACCAGGTAGGAGCCGCCACCAAAAAAAGCCCTGGCCCTGGTCGCAGCTAATTTGATGTCCTTGGGGCCCGGGATGACAAGCAAGTTTTGGGCCCCCGACCGTAGTGCTCTTGGGGGAACATGTGGGGAAAGGCGGTCCCTCAGGTAGGCTGGACCCTGGCCATATAGGGCTTTATAGGTAAGAACCAGCACTTTGAAGCGGATCCAGTATGCTATCCGCAGCCAGTGCAGCGCTTTCAGCACAGGCTGAATATGGTCCCTCCTAGAGAGACCTATCAACAGCCTGGCTGCAGCATTCTGCACCAGCTGCAGCTTCCAGATTTGCAACAAAGGCAGCCCCATGTAGAGAGTATTGCAGTAGTCTAGCCTCGAGGTGACCGTCGCATGGATCACTGTGGCCAGGTCATCGCGGTCAAGGTAAGGGACCAACTGCCGTGCTAACCAAAGATGGTAAAAGGCTGACTTGACAGTGGCTGCCACCTGGGCCTCCATTGTTAATGAGGAGTCCAGGAGCACCTCCAAACTCCTAACCCTAGACGCTGGCACCACAGGCGCCCCGTCGAAGGTTGGGAGAGGGAGCCCCAACCCCGCACTAGCCCGACTCAGGCCCAGGACCTCCGTCTTCGCCGGGTTTAGTTTCAAACAGCTCAGCCGGAGCCAAGCAGCCACAGCCTCTAACGCCCGATGAAGGTCATCGGGACTCGAGTCCGACCAGCCACCCAGCATCAGATAGAGCTGGGTGTCATCTGCATATTGGGCAATCTGGGCAAGGGGGTGCATATAGATGTTAAATAGCATCGGGGACAACACCACTCCCAGAAAACCCCCACAGTCAAGGGGATACCTATGGGATCGCCAGTCTCTGACTGCCACCCTTTGTCCCCGACCTTGTAGGAAAGAGGCAAACCACTGAAGGGCAAGCCCCTGAATCCCCACGTCGGCGAGGTGGTGGGTCAGCAGCTGATGGTTGACCGTATCAAACGCGGCCGACAGATCTAACAACAGCAAAGCCGCCACACCTCCTCGATCCAAGATGGCCCTACCTGAAAACAAAGAAATGAGCAGGCAAGTCAGGTGTGCCTAGTTTCCACTTCTCCATAGAAGGCCTGAGAAACCAGAATGCATGGCTGCAAGAAATTAGGATGGTAGCTAGCACAGACTTAAAAAAAAAAAAAAGGTTGAGACAAAAAAAATCGTAAAAGATGAACCTATCTATCACCAGTAGCTACAGTCATTAAGAACAAAGCTTCCACAGTCAAAGGCAGTGTCCCTCTGATTATCTAGGGTTACCAGATGTCCTGTTTTTAGAGGACCTGCCCTCTTTTATTGATGTCCATCCTCTTTTGGGCTTTAAAAAAACCCTGATGAAAATATCCTCTTTTGGAGTTGGAAGGTCCGGAATATTCCTAGTGAGTAGCAGTTATCACAGCTTAAATGGGAGGGACATTTAAAATGAGATTTGTCAATAGGGGTCACTTGTTTGAAGTAGTCAGGCAGGAAATATGTGCTCTTCTTTGCTTTTCGAAGTATGGTAACCCTAGATTATTGGATCTTGGGAAGGGACTATATGGATGGCTGTTTTCACTGTGCTATGTTTATCAGTTGCCCCACTCTGTTGGAGACAGAGAGCTAAACTTAGGCCCCGGTCACATGGAGAATTTGCAGCGCGAAAGGCACGAATGTTGGGGGGATTTTCGGGGCGCGATCACACCGCAACATCTGGGAAGCGTAGCGCACCCGTCGCCAACCCATGGTGTCCCGCCGAAGATGCGGAGTTAAAAAGTTCTTTTAACTGGAGATGCCGGGGATCCTGGGACCTTCTACATGCAAAGCACATGGGGCCACTTATTCAGGGCCCCTCCCCAAAGTTTAATATATGTGCATATGAAGCTGCCTTCTACTGAATCAGACCATCAGTCTATGAGGGCCAGTATTGTCTACTGCTCATTGTCACCTACTGCCTGGTCCTTTTAACTGGCAATGCCAGGGATTGAGCCTGGGACCTTTTGCATGCCAAGCAGAGGCTCCAACACTGAGCCATGGCTCTCCAGGGTCTCAGGCTGAGGGTCTTTCACATCACCTAATGCCTGGTCCTTTTAACTGGAGATGCCGGGGATTGACTCTGGGATCTTCTGCATGTCAAGCAGAGGCTCCAACACTGAGCCATGGACCCCTTGCGTGAGTGGCTCTCTGGAGTCACAGGCAGAGAGGTCTTTCCCATCCCCTAGTGCCTGGTCCTTTCAAACTGGAGATGGAGATGGCCAGGGATTGAACCTGGGACCTTCTGTGTGCCATGCAGAGATTCTACCCCTGAGCCATGTCCCCTCTCCATGGCGGATTGGGGTCTCAGGCTGAGGTCTTTCCCATCCCCTAGTGCCTGGTCCTTTCAAACTGGAGATGGAGATGGCCAGGGATTGAACCTGGGAACTTCTGCAGTCAAGCAGAGGCTCTGCCACTGAGCCACGGACCCGTTGCACGGCTGGCTCTCCGGGGTCACAGGTAGAAAGGTCTTTCCCGTCACTTACTACCCGGTCCTTTTAACCGGAGATGGCCCGGGATTGAACCTGGGACCTTCTGCGTGCCAGGCAGGGGCTTTGCCGCTGAGCCACGGCCCCTCTCCTGATGTTCTGGGGCGAATCTGTCCAGATGCCTCTCTCCGTGGCCGTCGCCTGGGGGACAAGCGGCGGGATTCGAAGGGGGAGAGCCAGGCCTCTTTCTCCCCGTCCCCCCGGCCAAGGAGAAGGGGGGGGGCTCCTTCCGGGCCAAGCCAGACCCCTCCCGAGTGGACCAAGAAGTAACCGGCGAGGCGAGGCGGCGCGGCCGGCTCTTTGTCCTCCTCCGCCCGCTGCTCTTCTGGTGCGCTTCCTCCCGCGGGGCAAATGAGGTCTCGCCTCCGCCGTGGGGGGCCCGCGCGGCTCTGGTTGCTGCTGCTGCTGCTGCTGCTGCTGCTGCTGCTGCTGCCGCCGCCGGCCGCGGCCTCTCCCTGCTCCGGCGGGGAGGTGTGGCCAGGGAGCGGTATAAAGTCCGCGGACCCCGCCTCCCCCCTTCAGTGCCGACTAGTTTCCCCCTCGCCGGAGTTCCTGCCCGCCTCTCCCGCCGCCGCAGACTTTCCTCTGGGCGACCCCCTTGTTCCTCCGGCCCTTCCCGGCCCCCTGAATGCCCTCTCTGGCCATGCCCACGGGCACGGTGCCCGTCACGCTGCTGCTTCTGGCGCAGGTGGGCTTCGTGAGCCTGGAAGCCATCCAGTGCCCGCCGTGCTCCGAGGAGAAGCTGGCCCGCTGCCGGGCGCCGGTGGGCTGCGAGGAGCTGGTGCAGGAGCCCGGCTGCGGGTGCTGCGCCACTTGCGCCTTGGCCCGAGGGATGCCCTGCGGGGTCTACACGCCGCGCTGCGGCTCGGGGCTGCGCTGTTACCCGCCGCGGGGCGTGGAGAAGCCCTTGCACACGCTGATGCACGGCCAAGGGGTGTGCATGGACTTGTCGGAAGTGGAGGCCATCCAGGAGAGTCTCCAGTCTACAGGTAAGGGGGAAGCGGGGCGGGGGGGGAGGCATTGGGTTGTAGGGTGGTGCCCAAGGTGGGCAGGCCGGCACACCCTGTGCCAGTTCACAAAGAATGCCTTATAAGGTCCATTTCAGAAGTGCAAAGAGGGACAGCTTCGTTTGGGGTGTCTTTCATCCACGGCTCAAAGCCGTGGACAGACTTCAAAGTGCCAGCTCTGAAGACCTGCCTGGCGCTGCCCTTCCCACCCACTGGCATCACATCAGCAACCAGTTGCCCTTCGTCGAGGTACAATTAGCCCTGTCCCTGCCCTATCTTTGGCGAGCCCTGTTCCGTGCTGTATTTAGCTGCAGACGTGAGGCAGAAATGGTCCCTCTGCGCATGCAAAACTCCCAAGGCCGGACAATCCTGTGGTGTTCCCCTTTACCTTTTTACAGGCTGTACTCACAAAGCCGATTGGAGGGTGGACATTGTTTTTTTCTGTTGCAATAGGGAAGAATGCCCTCAGTGTGCAGATACAGGCAGAGGTGTGTGTAGGGGGGATCCACGCTGCTCCCCTCTACTGCCCACAGCTTCCCAGAGACATAATGGAAAGCCATGTGGGTTTATCTCCACCAATGCTCCCTCTAAGCTGTGGGATCTTGTGAGCAAAAATTCTACTTTGTGAGCTTCTGGCATTAAAGTTGTGAGCCAGCGATTTGGCTGGTGCATCAATTAGTTTGCTCTGGAGCCCTCCTTCCTGAGTGAAGACAAAAATGTGTGAGCCGGAGGCTAAAAAATAGTCAGCTTGCTCACAGTAACTCAGCTTAGAGGGAACACTGATCTCCAATTATCATTTCCATGTAGTGTTTTAAAACTTTGTAAACCCTCAGAAGATAGCGCGCGTCTGGAAACAATTTCAGTATTCCTGGCTGTTTTTGTATTCATGGATTCAAGACATTCAGATGTGGGCATGGGGGGGGAGAGGGAACCGGCTGGCTTTCTCCTATACATAAGGTGTTTTGTGATGGATCATCGAATAATTTCCCCAAAAACTCCTGCTGTGTGTCACTAGTGCTTTGTATACTTCACGGTCCCTTTTTGTGATTGCTACATCTGAGGTGCAGCTTAATGGGTTTCTTTCACTGGGAATACCTCACAACACGCACAAAAATTGTGTCCAAATCATTGCCACCCTCTGGCTCTGTACTGGTAGTCACAAACTTCAATTGGAAATGTGGCCTTCCCTTCTTGCAAGAATGGAGGCAGGGGGGATTCCGTCGTTTCACCCAAGACTGTATCTGCAAAAAGCAGGAAGGTGGGTCAGAGGTGCTAAAGCATCACTGGGGGCACCATTAAGTGACTGCACACATGCTTTCCCAAAGCACGTACATCTCTGCACCTTTTTCAATGCCAGGGCTAATAAAATCCAGAGTAACTACCACTTGCCTGGTAGTATACACGGCCCTTTTGTATCGGCACTAAGGTGCATGGAAAGCGGACAGAGGTCCATCTTCTTACCTGCTTCCAGCTGGTCCGCTGCAGTACTAACAGCTTCATGGCAGCAGGAAACCCAACAGGTGAATTCGCTCCTCTCTGGCTACTGCATGGCTATGCTGGCAAACGTAGCTCCAGCTGAAATGTACAGCAACTGTGCAGTGCTTGTCGGGCACACGGATGCTGCCAGGAAAAAAGCAGCAAGGACAAAGTGGTAAAGGCTGTACTCTGAGCTACTTCCAGTAGGAACATAAGGCTGCTGAAACTAGTATTGCATGAGCCCACTTCTAGGTGCTGTGATCCCACACTACATAGGTGCGTGTGTGGACATGATCACATGGACAGAGCATACAGCATGGGACTTCAGATTTCCAACATTGAAGCTGGTCCTTCTACCTGTACCTTTAATATCAGCTTTAGCACAAACAAGCAGAAGTTCCATCAGTGGCTGTCAGTCCCTTGTGGTCTTAACGGGATGTATACATCCTTTCACGCTTTGCTGGAATGCAGATTTTTTGAGATTATGAGGGATTGCTATATTAAGCCTTTATTCAACCAGTTGTCCTCCTATACTCTGGAAAATCTGGCTCTTTTGCTCAGTGATAAGGATCCCAGGATCACTCTAGCAATTGCAAAATTTGTCTCAGTTCTTTAGCCTTTGCAACTAAAAATAAGAAATAAGTGTTTTCTGCAGCTCAAGGTTCATGAATCAATGAACTTCTAAGGGTACAAAAGGAAAAGTGGCTATTAGCCACAAGGTAAAGATGGGACACTGTCTGGGGCAGGGATGTTCTGTATTCTTGGTGCTTTGGGGGGCAACTGCGGGAGGGCTTCTGGAGTTCTGGCCCCACTGGTGGACTTCCTGATGGTACCTGGTATTTTTGGCCACTGTGTGACCCAGAGTGTGGGACTGGACTGGCCATTGGCCTGATCCAACATGGCTTCTCTTAGGTTCTTAATCATCAGGTGATGTTATTTTACTTAATGAAATGAAATGTTTCCCAGTGTCCATTTCTACTCATTAAACTCCTATTAAAGGGGTTCCTGACCTTAGCATGGCTCATTCTCATACACCTGGTACCCTTCTGGGAAGAAGCAGGCTAACTGGACAGGAAAGTTCCTTGTGACTGTCGGCCCCACCCATGTGGCTGTATTATTCTCACTGATGCCCCTTGCAACGTGGGGCTGCCCCACCCTGAACAGGCTGCCAGGTTATTGGGAGTGTGTGAGAAGGATGCTGGCTGGTATGTAGCACTGCACAAGTCCTTGCTGGGGGGACCAGATGCCATACCGAACACGGGTCCTGGACGTTTGATAGCTGCAAATTCTGACGGGGAAGCTTGCCTTGGTGGGGTGCAAAAGCCAACAATGTCAAATTTCTCTTTTCTAAAAGACGCAAGATCTCTGCTTTCCTTTACACCCGATTGACACGACATCTAGGTTATAAATCCCCCCTACGCATCTTGCACATGTCTTCCAACTGCAACTCACTGTGCTCTGGAAAACCTTTGGTGGGTGGTCTGTGCCCAGAGATGCTGCTGGGGTATGTGTGTATACTATGGAGTACAAAATTCCAGGGGCTTGGGCAGTGTTCCCTCTAAGCTGAGTTAGTGTGAGCTAGCTCACAGTTTTTTAGCCTCCGGCTCACACATTTTTGTCTTAGCTCAGGAAGGACGGCTCCAGAGCAAACTGATTTTTGCAGTAGCCAAATCGCTTCATCACAACTGTAATGCCGGTAGCTCACAAAGTTGAATTTTTGCTCACAAGACTCCACAGCTAAGAAGAAAAAGAGGAGGAGGAGATTGGATGTATAGCCCGCCCTTCACACTGAGTCTCAGAGTGGCTTACAAACTCCTTTCCCTTCCCCTCCCAACAACAGACACCCTGTGAGGTAGGTAGGACTGAGAGAGCTCTTTCCAGAACTGCCCTTTCAAGAACAAGTCATCCAGCAGGTGCAAGTGGAGGAGTGGGGAATCAAACCCGGTTCTCCCAGATTAGAGTCCGCGCACTTAACCACTACACCAAACTGGCTCTCTTAGAGGAGCATTGGGCTTGGGGAACCTTAAAGTCCTGGGGAGATGGCTGTGCTGTTGCTGAAATAGAGTGCCAGCATACCTGTTCTCATCTTTTGCATGTTTGCGCGATATGCAGGCAGGCAGGCAACTCTGGGTTGGGAAATATCTGGAGATTTTGGGGGTGGAGCCTGTGGAGGGAGGGGCAGGATCTCAGTGGGCTATAATGCCACAGTGTCCACCCTCCAAAGCAGCGTCCCCCCCCCCTGGGAACTGATCTCTGTCTCCCGGAGCTCTGTTCTAAATCTGGAAAATTGCCAGGACCCACCTGGAGGTTGGCTAGCATACAGGTGGCCCCGTTTTGTGCCCCACAGAACCCCATGCACAAAGAGGGGGACTGTGGTGAACAGAAAGTGGTCAAAAACCTCTCCTAATAGGCTGTGGAAGGGAAACTGGGTTGATGACAAAATGGAGCTTTGTGCCCCCCCCTAACCCTTCATGAGCCAGTTTTCATGACTCACGGCTCTCACGTCATTTGAGGCACACGCGAAATGCAGGATGCATCCAATGAATGGTGTGCAGACACATTTGCAATAAATCTTAAGACTTGCAGGTGCTGCTGGACTCTTCAAGCGTAAGGGTAGAACAGACCAAGCCCCTCCGAAGGTAGCCAGGATGGTAACACGGGGTGTGTGTTAAGTGCCATCAAGTCGTTTCCAAGTCATGGCCACCCTATGAATTAATGTCCTCTGAAATGTCCTCTCCTTAACAGCCTTGCTCAGGTTTTGCAAACCGAGGGCCGCACCTTCCTTGACTGAGGGTGATTCTGCATCTGGCATTCGCTCCACATTTTCTCGACCGGGAGGAAAAAGTGCAGCTGAAAACCACATCCAAATACCGCGGGGCAATGCCGTACTGACTGCAAAGTCACCCCTGAATGGCCATGAATCTATGCAGAAGGTACCATAAAATCCGATGCTCAAAGAAAGTGAAAGCGGCATGCAGTGTAGAGGGTACCATAAAATCCAATGATCAAAGAAAGTGAAAGCAGCATGCAGTGCAGAGGGGAATTTCTGTTTCAATGTGGGTTTCTTAAAACAACAGAAGGAAAAGCCAATGCAGAATTGCCCTGAGTCAATCCATCTCAGGTTGTCTGTTCCTCTTTTCCTGCTGCTCTCAACACTGGCCTTTCCTAACAGCTCAGGCTTTAAATGGTATAGGGCTGCCGGGTCCGGGTTGGAAAATACCTGGAGACTTTGGGGGTGGATCCGGGAGAGGGCGGGGTTTGGGGAGGGGAGGGGCCTCAGTAGGGTACAATGCCACAGAGTCCACCCTTCAAGGCAGCCATTTTCTCCAGGGGAGCTGATCTCTGTCAGCTGGGGATCAGTTGTAAAAGCAGGAGATCTCCAGGCCCCACTTGGAGGCTGGCAACTCTAAAATGGTATAAGGTCACCAGTGTGTGGAGGGATCAAAAAGACTGGCAGGCAGATTGGCAACAATTCTTTGCCAGTCCAGAAGAGCCACAGCCCTGGC